AGCAAGAAAGATGATTTAGGAGAGAGGAGAAGGGAGGAATTCGGCCAGAGTGTCTCTACTTTAGATGGTGTGTCGAATTCCCTCACCCCTAGGGTCTATTTATACTTGTAGACTCCTTAAGGATTACAGCTTTAACCCTAATTGGATAACTTAGACTTTAAGTTAATCCATATCCTTTCCTTGATAACCCTATGGATGATTTTTGGCTTATCCAAGCCCTAGAAATCGTCCATCCTATCTTGGATAAGGATTTATAGTCTAAAGTGTAACTATCAAACAATTGACAGTTTATACCCTCTTACTTAATTAATCTCTTTAAGTCACCAAATTAATTCCAATTAATCTATGACTTATATTAATCAAATAACCATATATTATTCCTTATAATATTTACTCTCTCTTAACAAATCATCCATCAAGTTGCTATGGTGAAGGCAACCCAAAAGGACCATGCACAACCGGGTCAAATACTTGCCTAAATATAATTGCAGCCTTAGACACTATTCCAACAAGAATAACCCCAACCTAAGGCCTTAGACCACTAGTAGGAGAGATCAAATTCCTATAAGCACCATCCAACCCATAAATAGATTTTATCACTCTAACCCACAAAAGATCAAGGTTCTGATAAAACCTCCACCACCACCGAAATATCATAGGTCTATTAAAAGAGAAAAAACTTCCAATTCTTAAGGCTCCTTCATCCTTTGAAGCTATAACTCTATCCCACCTAACCCAATGCACACAACATTTGTCCCCATCTGCAGCCCAAAAAAATATCGCCCCCATTCCCTCTAAATCCTTCAAAACGGATAGGGGGTAAGGAAATTGGACATCATGTAGCTCCCTAAAGAACCCAACATAGACTTTACCAACATAAGACAGACTCCAAAAGAAAGACTCTTAGTCTTCCAATTCAATAACTTAGACCAAGTCATAGTCTGGCCCACAGGAATACCAAGATGCAAAAATGGGAGGTTGGAAGCTGCACAACCAATATTCTCTACCATATCAAGGACTTGAGAATATGGAACTCCCACACCTATCAATTTGCTTTTTTCCAAATTTATTTTCAGACCTAACGCCAGGTAGAAACACCTGAGAATACAAATAAGTCGTTTTGCAGTTCCAGGATTCCAAGAAGAGACCAACATAACATCAATCACGTAAAAAGGTGAGAAATCTTAACTCCTTGTTTCAAACCCTGGTACATTTGGAATTCCTCCGTCGGGGAACCATTAACCAAAAGTGATGCCCTAGTAGTGGTCAATAATTCCTTAATCCACCCACACCACTTGGAACCAAATCCCATAATCGACATGATTTCCAAAAGATAATCCCATGATAATGAATCATAGGATTTCTCGAAGTCCACCTTAAAAAGAATCATAGGATTTCTAGACTCCTTACTCCAAGCAACCACTTCGTTCAAGAGAAAAGGACTATCCATAATTTGCATGCCTTTAATAAAGTCGGATTGCTCAAGGCTAACAACACTATGAATAACCTCCACCAAACGATTAACTATGAGTTTACCAATAATTTTATATTGGCAATTGATAAGACTAATGGGTATATAATCTTTTGCATTTTTTGGTCTCTAATTTTTGGAATAATAGCAAAAAAAGAAGCATTGCACCACTTTGGAATAGAAGAATGGAGAAAAAAAATGATTAAAAAATGCCACAACATCCACTGCAATAAGATCCCAATAATGTTTGAAAAAACCAAAACTAAAACCATCTGGGCTAGAGATTTTGTAGAACCACAATCCCAAACTTCCCTTTTGATGTCCTTAGAAGAAAAAGGGGACTGCAAAAAGTCAACCTGTATGGGGGTTAAAGTACTAAAAAGAGCATAATCTGTCGTAGGTCTCTAAGACGGACACTCCCGAAATAAGAACTGATAATAATCATAAAACCTCCTTAACATTGCCCGGGTTATCCACCCATACTCCATCAATCATGAGAGCTCGAATAGAAATTTGTCTCATTCTACGGTTAAGAACCCGATGGAAAAAACTAGAGTTCTCATCCTCTTCAATGCTCCACTAAACTTTAGCTTTCTGAGCAAGATCAATATGAATTAAGTGATCAAGCTCCGACATCTCCTTCAATAAGGAAACTCTCCGCTCTCTCAAAGTAGGTGACTCATCCTCCTCTATAAGACTACTATCAATATACTCAAGCAATAATTGGAGGTTCTTTTTTATAGTTGCCACCGTGTCACGATTATTAGAGTTCTACTCCCTAAGTTTGGATTCAATAAACTGAATTTTTTTCTTAAATCTAACCCAAGGATTAGACAAATCTATCCCCAACAGAGCATTAAACCAATACTCCCGTACATCATTGTCAAACCCATTCCTATCAAACCATGAATGGAAAATACGAAAAGGAGTAGGACCATGAATGGAAAATGGAAAACACAAGAATAGGATGATAATCAAGGATATTCTTTTCCAAAACAAGACCCGAAAGATGAGGGAAAGAGTCCAACAACCCCTCTGTAACAAAAAATATGTCAAGTTTGTTGAATTTGAAGCCCCATTTGTCACTCCGATTGTAGCGAGGACCACCCATCAGAATATCTAAAAGATCAAGGGACTCAAAAAATCATTGAAAACTCTTGATGCAGGAATATTAAAATTCGAACCCAATCTCTCTGAATCATCTCAAATTTCATTAAAATCGTGCATAACAATACATTCTCCCGAAAACATAGAAACAATATTATAAATTTCTTCCCAAAGAAGTCTTTATTGTTTAAGGCTTGAGGGGCATACTGTAACATCTAGTTTTGAAAGTACTCAGTTATGGCTTTAGAGGACAAGGGTATAGGCGTAATGTGACAATTCGGCCTTTTATGGGTATCGGGTCTTATTCGGAAGGTTTTAGGTTTTTGGGTGTAGCTAGGAGTATAGGGCTTCCCGCCACCTTTTCGTGGATATAACGTTCATCGGAAACGGACTTAGAATGAAGAAGCTATATCACTTTGAAGTTATTGGCATTATTAGACGTTAATGGAGAAATATGGCAAGAAAGTACCATGCATGCAAGGTGGTAGGCACGAAAGTATGCCTAACATAAGAGAGTAAATGGACGTGGGTGGTTTATGAGTATGTCCGGCGTACATAGAGGTACGTGGGTCGTACTCCATTCAGACTTAAACCCTACATTTTAGGGTGTGTCACTATAAAAGGAATGTTATGCCTCAATGGTCAGCCTCCATCTCAGCCTTAGACAGCCACCACGAAACCCTAATCCTTCCTTGAGTGTTCTTGGATCTTAGAAGGCCATTAGAGAGCATATTGGTGTTGAACATCCATTTTCCAAGAAAGTGAAGAGCAAAGCATGGTGGTGTTTCAATGGAGAAGCTGTAGATCTGAGATTGTTGTTCCATTTCAGATCACCTTGAGGTATAAAGCGTTGAACGATCCTCAAGTATGCTTAGATCTAGTGTAGTGTTGTTTTGGAGTCTTTTTAGTTCCAAGAATGGGCCTTTATGACTCAAGTTCATTTCAAGTCCAAGAGGTGCGACTCCTAGTGATATTCATGTCCCATAAGCAGTAATTCTTGACCTTTAGGGTCCTTTGTTGAACATTCATAAGTTTGGAGTCATTCCATGGAAGTCGGTTGATATATTTTAAGTTTGGCCTTACTTGGTGGGTTGCAAGCCATCAAGTAATCGACTTTATGGATTAGGACGTTAAAGAGGACTTGGATATGTGATTATAGCCTTTGAAATAGAGTATTAAGTGCTTAATAGGAAAAGTGACTTAACAACGATGTACATTGGGTGTACATGGATGTACGCGCAACGTACAAGTCATACAGCCTATACGCTTAGCGTATAGAGGAGTACGCCCCGTGTAGTCATCAGATATGGGCTTGGTGTGTTTTGGTCCTCGGATTGGGCCATACATTGGACTTTGGTTCTTTTGGCCTTGGTGGACCATCAGAAGTCAGATAATTTGGGCTAAAAATATGTTTAGGCTTTAGATAAGGCCCATTATAAGGATTGGGCCCAATTCAGCAAAGTGGGCCATCTGTGGTCCACTAGTGGGCTTGGAAAGCCTACCTAGTGTTGGACTTTTTTTATATTATGGTTTTGGGCCTTGGTGGAACAAGTTGGACTAGGGGTAAAATGGTCATTTTACCCATAGGAGAATTATTGGTTTGGACTAATTGTTATTTTGGGTAATGGTAGCTTGGGGAGTCGAGAGATCAGAAGTTTGGGGATCTGCTAACTAGCAACGAGGGGTTATTTACAGGATTCTATAGTCAGCTTGTGAGGTGACTTTTCTCCAGTAGGTACGGGTCGAAGGCACCAATGTCAGCGTGTTTTTGTATGTTAGTGTATACCGGATTTAGATTCGATGTCGGGGTTAAACCGATGTAGTTTATATGCTTCCGGATTACGGTCTAATACCAGGAGAGGCTCGAGGAAGGTTTATATGTATGTTTTCGAAGTACGGTTCGATGCCAGGTAATACTCAATGAAGGAATGCATGTTTGGTTATACTTGTTGTCTTTGTGATACTTGTATGTGTCTGGAGATAAGTGTGGGAAGGGGCTCATATCTCATTACTAGCTGAGTGTGGACGAGGTTCCATATCTCATTATTAGTAAAGTAGGAGCGGGGCCCAATATAGGCGGGGCCCCGCTCCTACTTTGGGGATGTTACAAATACACAACTATTAATTAAAAGCACTTCTAGGTCCGAACGAACGCAAATCGATTGAATAGCCACATACCAATTGTGAATCGAAACCCATGTATGGGAAATAGAATCTAGGTCCCATATATAAATAATACCACCGGAAGCTCCATAAGGAAGAATTACCCCACAATGATGTAATCGTACCAAAATCAACACAATCCATCTTAGTTTCTTGAAATGCCAAAAAAAAAAAATAACTTTGTAACGAATACATAATTTTCTGATCCGACTCCTCTTATCTAAGGAGACCGCTCCTTGAATATTTATTGAGAGACAATTCATTTAGGAATTTGCCCTTCAACGTGCCCCTTTAAGATTTCTGGAACACGATCCAAGCAACCATCCATATTGTACCCTAATGATTCTCCCATTTCAATAGTATTTTTTTGTAATTCATTTAAAAAATAATTACTATTAGTAATACCCTCTGAGACACTTTGATTGTCCCCCAAATCAGAAAAACACCAATTAGAAAAACCCGGAGGATGAGAAAGATCTTCTTCAGAAAGATTAATACCTGATAGCAGTCCAAAACCTCCAAAAAAACCATGAATATTATTTTGAACTCGAGCTTTAAAAGGAGCAACCTCATTGTTGACAAACTTATTGGTCCTTGATATTTGATTTTTATTACAAAGATTATCAAGAGGCGTAGACACAGCTAAAGGTGTAGCTATCAAAACATCATCTGGAACCGCTGAAGAGGGCAAAACTGTTGTTGTTAAATCATTGGCAGCAAGTGTTGCTGTTGTTGGTACGGTATTGCTTAGCGAGGGCTACACACAACCATCATGTGATGAATGAAAGGTTTGGACCGGAACTGGGGTAGAACTGATAATAGGAAAGGAAGATGGCAACGCATCTTTTTCAATAGCTGAAGGAAAATTCCGAAATTACCCCTTAGAAGACAGCTTGGGCAAATCAGCTGATTTTTTATGCAAGTTTTCCTCATTATCAATTTTTTTCCAATACATCATAAATTCCAAAAGGGTCTTGTGAAGCTTCTTCATTGCCAACTATGGAATCATTACTACCCTCTTGTTCAAAACGATCAAAAGCCTTAATACCTCCTTGGTGATTATTAGTAGAATCCCATGTGAAAGAAGGATTCCAACCAAGAGCTTCTTTAATAAGAATAGGGAACACTTCTCCATCAACTATAACTTTGATGACTTCAAATATAATATCAAAAGACGAGGTAAGAATACAAACACACGATTTGTACACATCTTCACCAATATTATCATCCAAATGAACAATTAAACCCCATTTATCCAAGATTTGTCTAAAAGCAAGTTTACTCCAAGCATGTAAAGGCACACCTTCAACATCAACCCACATAATACGATCAGCGGGCACAAAGTTTCTATCCTATTTTCTTTGTTAAGAAATCCAATGATTAACAACATCACACTCCAAAAACAATTTACAAGCATGTTTGGACTTAAATTCAAACATTACCCAAAGAAAAAGTATATGCATAAAGCAATTAAATACATGTGATTATTATGTATATGACATATACATATTCATATGTATATACATACTCAAATGAATAACTATATGCATATTCATAAACGTATGTATATGCATATGAATAAGTATATGCATATATATATATATATATATATATATATATATATATGCATAATAATAAATATATGTATACGTATATGCATAATAATAAATATATGCATATGAATAACATATGCATAAGAATAAGTATACGCATAATAATAAGTATATGCTATGCATAAGAATATGTATGTGCATATGAATAAGTATATGCATATACATAAGTATACACATATGCATATGCATCAGAATAAAATACTTATATGCATAAGAATAAGTATATGCTTATGCATATCTATATGGATAAGTATATTCATATGCATATGAATAAGTATATATGTTTATATATTAATAAGTATATGCATATGATTATTACTTAAATTTCGAAATTAATACTTGAAAAAAGATTTTTTTCACCAAAATGCATTTTTAATGCATATTCATATATATATATATATATATATATATATATATATATATATATATATATATATATATATATATATATATATATATATATATATATATATATATATATATATATATGCATATTTTAAAAAAACATATGCATATGGAGATGCACATTCGAAAAAGACATTTTCAATGCCTCTATATGCATAAGAGTAAGCATATGCATATGCATATACATATATATATGCATATATATATATATATATATATATATATATATATATATATGCATATGCATATGTATAAGAATACATATATGCACAATACAATTAAATACATATGATTATGATCATGCTTATATATATGCATATGCATAAGAATAAGTAAATGAAATATCCATATAAATAACTATATGCATAGACATATGTATAAAAATAAGTATAAGTATATGTATATTAATAAGTATATATATATATATATATATATATATATATATATATACATAAAAATGAGTATATCCATATTCATAAGTATATCCATATTCATATGCTTATGAGTAAGTATATGCATATGCATAGTATGACATATATATGTATAAAAATAAGTATATGCATATGCATATGAATAAGTATATCCATATGCATATTCATATACATAAGAATAAGTATATGCGTATGCATATGCGTAAGTATATACATATGCATAACATATCATATACATAAAAATAAGTATATGCGTATGCATAAGAATAATTATATGTATATGAATATGAATAAGTATATGCATATGCATAAGAATAAGTATATGCATGTGAATAATCCATATGCATAGGCATAACATATATATATATATATATATATATATATATATATATATATATATGCTCTTACATTTTATATGCATATACATCTAAAGAAGTATATATATATATATATATATATATATATATATATATATATATATATATATATATATATATATATATATGCTCTTACATTTTATATGCATATACATCTAAAGAAGTATATATATATATATATATATATATATATATATATATATATATATATATTTATGCACATACATATGAAATTTATATACATGAACATATATATACGTATACGCATATGCATATGCATATTAAGATGTATATGGATATGCATACTGATACATTGTTAAAAAATCACCTCTGCCCTCTTGTTCTCTTATTTGTTTCCACTTTTTTTCTTCTACAAACTGACTACATTCTTCTTCTTTCCCTACTATTAAACCTCAACAAATCAATGCCTATGTAAAGAAAAATAAAAAGTAATAGTAAGATTATAATAGAAATAAACTCTTGTGACACACCATTAATAAAATTGTAGATTAAGGTCAAATGAAACAAAAACAATCACTATATCTTGGTCTGAGTCTTTAAGCAAACTAAAGCCAAGGGTAAAGATGTCATATCCGAAAAAAGATGAAAAACCATTATAATTGCAAACATATAAGCTCTTAGACAAAGCGCCGATAACAAACTTTTTCAAATTTAAGGAATATAAAGTTTCCATTATTTGCCATTCTTCCAAGCTAAAGTTACTGGTAGCAAGGGTAATAATGTCGCTTTTTTTTTTCTGAAAAAGGAAGAAAATAATCTTGTTAATTTTTGTCAACATTAGTAACCAAAGAGAGTTATATAACAAAATCTCATTAACGAAAGAGGAGACCAGGGCCTTCAGTACCATGTAAGGGTAGTTTTGTCAAATCAAAGAAAAAATTGTTTTATCCTCATATTCAGCATGTTTTCAAAGTACTAATAGAACCTTGAAGTAACACCGTTTGTAAACTTCCAGCAGGAGATTCTTATTTTACATCTATGTGTGACCCCCAATGTAACCATATTACCATTAAGGGACAATGTCATTTTACCAGACTATATAGACCAAAATCCAAACACTACAACCACCACCATCATGATTATAAATATAATTTTTACTTCAATCTAAGATAAATGCAATAAATGAGTATAAAAAGCAAAAAAAAAAAAATGCAATAAGTGACACTTAATAAACTCACATTTGAACAGACCTGGTACCGATAGACATGAATAAACTAAAAGATTAAAAAATAACTTAGTAGTCAACAGACCTATCATTTAATGCAGTAATCTCTAAAAATGCATGTTAATTCAGATTACACGATCAAATTAATCAAATAAACTTTACACCTAACTAATAAATGCAAGTGATTATTGTTGGTGCTAAGTTTTTTAGGTGCCTAGAGATTCTATTCCATATCCATAATCATAATGGAACCTCATGGGATTCATGAGACCACTTATAATTGTATCATTAAGTGTGATTTGGATATCAAGAGGATTTGTATGGTAACATTATTCTATTACATAGGGTGAAACTTATTAGTTTCAAGTAACCTTTTTAAAAAAATCTTATGCGTTTGATTGATGGGTCGTTTTTTTTCTATTTGTTTCGAATTTACTAAAAATCGACAGTTCATTAGAATCATGTGGTTATCTTTACAGTAAAAGAAATTAGACATATTTCTCACAAACTGAACATATTTTCCCCTATACAGTAAGTTGACATATTTCCCCTGCACATTCATTTTACCACTTTTCAATCTTTCAAGTTCCTTTATTCAACACCACCTCCTAAACAACATTCTATCTCTTTATAATCAAAAAAAGTTTCTTATTTTAAATGAATTTTGTAATATGAATCTAATTAAGTGTCAGTAACATTTGAAATTTGTTCAAAGGGTTGTAATTAGATTAGGATTATAAATGAATATGATTTGTGAAGAGAAATGGATGAAATCAACTTCTTTTACATTTTCCTGATCAAACTAAACCTAATTCGGAGAAACCCATCTTCTAATTAGTATATACATTTAATCATCTTCAACATCTGAATCGAAAAAAATAACAACACTTGGAATTCATAGTGATCTTCATGTTAATGAAAACATAAAGCTACAAAAATACTTAAAAGGCTAACTTACTGAAAAAAAGTGGTGTTTGTTTCAGGCATTTCGTCGAGAACTTGATGTACATCTCTAACAGGCAAGAAAGGTTCATAAATCCCTTACATCAAATTTCATTATTTTAGGTGTAGTAATGAAAGGGAAAAGAGACAAATCCATTTAGTGTAGGCTAATATAAGCCACAAGCTTCTAGAAAACCATGATAAATATTCAAATGGGGAAACATTAAACATGTTAGATTCATTTGGAAACCCGCTTGAGGAAGTTATATCAAAATCACCAACTAGAATAAGTTACTCGGTTACTTACATTTATAGGAATACAATAGAGTCGGGAACCACATAAAGAAGAGGAAAAAAATCAGGAAACACTACAATAAAAAACATATGCATTGGATTGATGAATGTGTTTTTTCACATGGTTTCTTAATGATTACCTATAGTCGCAAATTGAATGAGATAAACAGTCAATTAAATCCATAAAATAGCAATGTAATTTAAAATTATCTCCATGATATCTCAAATCATATCACTTTATATGCACATCGAATCAATCAAGTTAAAAATGGAGAAATTCACATGTAAGGAGAAGAGACCCATGTAGATTCAGTTGTGGTGGCATTGATTAAGCAACGACAATGATGATTTCATGTTGATGATGCAGAGTTGTGTGATTCTATTTTTTATCAGTTAGGGATACATGCATGAAAATGTGTTGTTAGTGGGTTCGTTTGTTTGCTCTCATTATTTGAGTTCGCTATTGATATTCTCTCTCTCTCTCTCTCTCTCTCTCTATATATATATATATATATATATATATATATATATATATATATATATATATATAGATACACACACACACAGACTGGGATCTCCGCTCAATACTTCTCGAACCTTTCTTTCCCACCGCCACCAAATCCCAAGAAACTTATTGATGAGTTTTAATTCAGTATTATGTCATTTATGTGGTACATAACAATTTACATGAATGTATCAATAGAGAGATCATTCGGAAATGATTTTTTAGATATACATATAAAATACCTATAAGTGTGTACCTACATTGAGTTGTCTCTCTATTACCTCTAACTGCAAAATCTACTTAATAAATAAAGATCATTTTACCAAATGGTGACTTAAATTCACCAAAAGTTGTTTTCACAGGTGGTGTGAGTTCTTTTAGTTTTAGCTGAACAAATTTTATCCCCTTTTACTGCATTGTGTTGAACTTATAAAAGTTATTATGATTAAATAACGACTTTTAAATATGAATTACTTTGTAAGCCATATAAATTGAATTACTTACTTACTCATCATTTCATTTGCATTAAAATTTGACTTCCGTATTTTTTAATGTTGATATCTTGATAT